ACGTACAGGTGTGAAGGTCGTTGGACTGGCATCATCATCCGATACACGTTCGAAAGTTTCAGCTGTCCTTCATCTTGATGGGACAGGTTCAGTGCAGCTTGGCCCTACCCAAGAACCTGCCTATGAAACTTTTGTTGCACAGGAGCATGAGGTTGTAAAGCTCTTGAGGGAGCTACGATACACGCAGGGAGAACGCAGCTTTGTTAATCATGCTTGTGCCAAATTTTGGATTGCAAATGGAGTGGGTTCGCTTACAGTCTACCCGCACAAGTCGTTAGTTGCAGAGGTGCATGGCTTTGTCACTCAACGCACCGGAAAAAGGTCATGGAAATGCAATAGTGGCAAGTCAGTATATTTTCTTCCTGCCACCAATCCTGGTAGGTTGAACGCACGCCAAGTTGGGACATACGGAAATCACTGGGCCGAGGCTGTGTATCAGGCGGGTGGCCCTTTCATGCTGGAAGACTCTCCTGACCTCACAGTTGAGGCTCTGACAAAGCTCGGCTTTCTGGACAACGATTTGAACTCTGATCTCCCTGAAGCGATGTTCGTGTTTGCCAACGTATCTACGAACAAGCAAAAATTGAGGAAACTGCGAATGTTGCCAGGTCCTGATGAAAAGAACACTGAGGTTAGCAAGAAACTTCATTCTGCATTTGTCTCAACAAAGTCCAACGGAATGTGGCAGATGATGAAGAAGCAAGCTTCCACCATGCAGCGCGTGATGCAAATCCTGAAGAAGGCAAATCTCATTCCGCGAGCGGATTGCTCTGAGTATTCGTGTGAAGAGATCTTTGCAGCGATGAAGGCCTACGCAAACCAACGTCAATTGCCTCGCATGCAGACGTTCAATGGCCTGCGTTTCAGAATTCTTCGCCATGATGCGAGAAGGGCTCCCAACATGAGGAGGGAGGCTGATTTTGACAGGCGATGACCTTTGCGCAAAACAGTGAGTGTTGTTCCTGTTGGTGGGCAATTTGCAATCGCTTGTAGTTACTAGGGGAAGTCGATTGCAGTAATCAAGTGGTGGGCTATGGCGGGCAGTAACAGCAGGTCCTGATAGAACGTCTGTCATCAGAATTTCGACTCCATGGGACTCCGTGGCCACAAGACCTTTTCGCTGGATCCTGAAAGCCAACTGTTGATTCATTGATACATCTGGGTAAATTATAACGACCTCACTGCGACCTCACTGGAATCATGGTTAATAAGGGGAATCATCCCCAAATGGCCTTAATTCAGGTTAGTGAAATATTATAGTTTACCCAGATACATGATTATCACGGGTCATGAAGTTGAAGCATCCTGAGATTGAAGGAGCCCTTGTTGCACCAGCATTTTTTTGGTGTGAATCTGATAGACAGCAGCCGCAAACTCCAAGGAAATGGCATCAGCCGATTTCGCTGCCCATCAAGGATTTGGATAAGGTGGGGCACGGATGGACTGGAGCAAGAGTCCAACGGGATGAAGAAGGGCCGACCCGTGAAACTGTGCTGTGCTTGTTCAATCCGTCAGGTTTTGTTTTGCCAAAACCTGCAGTCCACTTGGTGTTTTTGGTGCAGAATGGGGTAAACCCGTTATAACAATCAATAAGAAACCATCCCCCAAAGATGGTTATGATATGTTATGATATGTTATGATTGTGATATATTGTTATCGCGTTGGCGGATTGGTAGGAAGCCCCACCATTTGCCATTTTTCTTTGCAAGGCGCAGCTCGAAATATGTCTGGGAATTCGACGTCTCTTGGCCACCTTTCGTCGCCACCAAGAAACATATTCAAGGTAAAAGGTGGAATTGCGGTGTGGCTATGGCTCAAAATTGGGTGAAGATTACTCAAATGGACAAGATGTGGATTGCTGCATCTCAAATGAGCAGTTTCCCAGACTCGATTGTGAGAATCTGATAATCACCAGTATATTGGATAGAAAAACATACAATAATCAATCAACAGGGACCACTGCTCAAATTTTGATTTTGGCCTTTTGAAACCTAGGGATTTCCCAGTCAGACTGGCCCCGCTTTCAAGGTCCCAACTACAAGGTCTTGGCTAACCTGAAGATGCCCTTGAAACTCCAGGACCGCCTCGTTTGGAGGCAAAAAATCAGTCAGTCTTGGGGGCAACATTAAAACAAGGTATTTTTAAGATAAGGCCAACCAGGAACCAGCTATTATTTCAGCTGCACTCTCCATTTGGAAGAACTGTCAGTAACAACTCCCTGGGGGAGTTTCTTTTGTTCTCCCAGTGTCCAAAGATAGCACATAGCAATAGTAGATATGATATGATATGATATGATACGAAATAATGATATGATACATGATCAAATCGTATCCCCATCCCACTTGGACCAGATTTCATCCCGCAGGAGATCAGGAACTGCGACAAATGGTGCGGATTCCCAGCCTAAAATCAGCGATTTCTTCGACAGCATTGGAGTGTTTTCAGCTCTTGAAGTTCCAGATTTTCTCTTTGAGCAGTTTCCGGAAGAGTTGAGCTAAAAAGAAACATTTTTTCTGCTGAGATCTGCTGAGGCAGCTCGACAAGGCTCTCCCCCTCGAGGTAGATCCAAAGATGGAAGGCCGCGGAAGCAAACTGAGTGCCAGTTTGGAAGAAATGGGGGACTTCGTCCTATTCCATCAAGAATGGTGTGATTTTTGATATACGGTATTAAGATATATTAAGTATATCATATTATGTGATATAATACAACAGAATATGATATTATATAGTATGATATGATATATGATCTAATGTGACACAATAGAATTTCATTTAACATACTGTAAGATATATTATAGTACACGATGATATAATATAATATCAATAAAACTTAATGTTTTATCATATTCTATTATACTATATTATACTATATTATATTATACTATATTATATTATATTATATTATATTATATTATAATGTATTATATCATATCATATTATATTATATTATATTATATTATTTTATGTTATGTTAAACAACACAACCTAAGATTACACACCATCATAAAACATAATCTAGTTCACTAACGCACAATATAACATACTATAGTACAAAATGTCAACTTATAATGTAGTATAGTATGACATGGAATAACATGATATAATATGATAAACTGCCAGATAACAACAACAGTACAATGGAAAGTATGATATGATATAATTTGATATAGCAAAATATGATATAATATGATGTGATATAATGTAACACAACTTAGTATGATATCTTATCATACAATGTGATACGTATGTTCTGATATCATTGATATCACATAAGACAAGCTTATTTCTATGTGTTTGACTTGTATTTCTTTCAATCTTTATTTCGTGTGCATCTCCGCGTGTAGGGCCCTGCCCAGGTACCAGCCTCCTGTCAGGGGCTCAGCCATCGAATCCATCAAGGCTAAGGTGCAAATCGGAGAAAGTAACTGTTAAAGTAACTCCTTCATGTTTTCATTGATTTACTAGGATTTTACTTTTCTACTCTTTTTTGGCGGGTGCTATACATGTAGGTATGGGAACTATACATACATACATACATACATACATACATACATACATACATACATACATACATACATACATACATACATACATACATACATACATACATACATACATACATACATACATACATACATACATACATACATACATACATACATACATACATACATACATACATACATACATACATACATACATACATACATACATACATACATAACCAATACCAATACCAATACCAATACCAATACCAATACCAATACCAATACAATACAATACATGACAATACAATACATGACAATACATTACAATACAATACATTACAATACAATACAATACATACACTACATACAATACATGCAATACAATGCAATACGAATACGAATACAAATACAAACACAACACAAATACGAATACAAATGCAAATGCACATGCAGATACAAATACAAGTACAAATGCAAATACAGAAACAAATGCAAATACAATACCATACCATACCATACCACACAATACAATAAAATACAAAACAATACATACATAACACACACACACATAACACACATAACACACATAACTCTCAACAAACAGAGACCCTCAGAATCCGTCACACCAACTCCCAACTCATGGCAGGGCCAAACTGTTAATTGGAGGGAGTGTTAATTGGACATATAAGATGGGAAAAAATAGGATGTCTATGTCTATATAAATTGTGCAGTAATGATTCAGTCAGCAAACATAAGGTTTCGGAAAACAAACATGGTGAGATCACGAGCGCACATCTGACTTCCCTGGATTGTGCATATATGCTATATATATATACATATAAATGCACACACATATATATATAATTAGATGTATATACATATATATATATGTATACAATATATGTATACAATATATGTATACAATATATGTATGTATATATATATATGCATACAATATATGTATACGATATATATATATATATATGTATACTATATATATATATGTATACTATATATATACAATATAATAAATATATATATATACATAAATGTATACAATATCTATATATATACATAAATGTATACTATATATATATGTATACAATATATATATATATTTATGTATACAACATGTATATATATATATACATATATATATGTATATACAGATACATATTTAGTTTTGTATATATAATTACATATATAACAATGTATGTAAGTATACGTATATGTACATTGTATATATATATGCATACACATGATACACAAATCCAGACGCCCACAGAGGAACCATCGGTCCCTTTCCAAGGCAGGAGAACCTGGAGTTGAGCCTTCGGATTACTTTGCGAAGCTTGTGCATTTCGGCGGACACGTTTGATTACTCGGCCTCGTTCTGACCTCGTTCGTTGGATCAAGAAAACGATCTGGGTTTGGAGGTTTCAGGTTTCAGATGGTTGGTTTCCAAGACACACCCAGATGGCAGTGTGTCAAAACCTTGTACCCCTGGTGAACATCAAAATAGCTGGTATATGGATGTTCATCCCACTAATAATGGTATTAATAGGTATTGATCCATCCCCAAATGGTTTTTGACTTCCATCACTTTGTAGCTACAGTTTTTTGTACAGGGCGGCAGTCGGCTCCGCGGTTCTGAATTGTGCGTCGCAGGTGGGACGTTGCACATGGCAGTGTCCCCCTGCCATGTGAAACCATATTGTGGGAATGGGAACACACAAAAACAGAAAACAAAAAAAAACATAAGAAAAAAAGTATCACGTCAAGTCTTGTGAAAGATCTGTGGCAGGTTTTGCACTACCAAGATTCACCAAGTTTTTCGACTTCAATTGTAGCCTTGCCGTGGCGCCCATCAGCTGCCCGCTGGCAGTAACTCCAAGAGCCAGTTCTTTTCTTGGATAGGTTTTCCATGGTTTCCCTCCGAAAATGATCAAACATGGACGTGGCAACTGGAAAACTCCACATTTTCAAGGGATGTAGACATGTTCAAAATGGCATGACTCGCAGAAGTCACTGCGGACCTGCGTTGGACGGTTTGGACCCATCTGCTTCGCAGAGTTGTCTCACGGAGGATTTGTCTGAAAATGGGGTACCTCCAAATTTGAGAGTAAATCACATGAAATCACCATTACTACAATATGGTCATTTTCTGAGTTTACCCCGCTTTCAGACACACACACACATGCTTTGGTGGTAAGAGGACTCCCGACGCTGTCCTCCCGCCGCCCGAAGTTTTCTTCGCAACGTCTAAGACGTGGAACCGGGTGGATGGCGAAGGTCAAAGGATGAAGATTTGGATGCTGGGAAAGTCGATGGTTTGATATTGCGAAAGAACTTTAGAACTTGATGTGTTTATATAGAATTGATTAGATATCGAAATTGATTTATATATCAGAGATGGGATTGAACATACAGTTGATTGACCAATCCAAGCGGTGTTCAAAGATTGGTCATGCTCGCATGAAACAATCTCAGGATTCCACCAATGAGTTTTCCCCACTGGTTAATGAGTAGTTCACACTTCCAATTGGTTGAGAAAGTGATGCGAAGCAGCATGGCGATCGCCATCGCCAAATCAGTTCCGGAACCCCTATGGCGATCCATCACTAGATGATCACAATTCCATGTCTGGTCTTTGTGTGTATTTGGAATTTGCATAGGTTACCTGGTTCCGTTTGGGGATTTCTGAGAATGGGGAACCCCAAACAGACACATTGAATCACATTGAACTTGTGCCGCTTTGCCATTTTGAGAAACGCATGGTTTTGTGGTACACCAATTTTGAGAAACAGAAACAGCCATTTGGATTCGTTTGGATCTGAAACTGGGGTACCCAATGGTACCCCTAACTCCACTGGACGATCATCATCTTCCCTACTAAGATTGCCATTTGGAGCTGAGTTTCCAGATTTCAGAGACACACATTGATATCATCTTGCTTAGATATCCCATTCATATACCCATTACCCTCTGGTAAACTAACATAACTATGGAAAATCACCATTTTTGATGGGAAAACTCACTATAAATGGCAATTTTCAATAGCTATGTCAAATAACCAAACGGTACCCATTAATGTATTAATACCATTGATATTTTTACGAATATCCCATGACTCCTCCCATTTTCGCCCAGAAGGAGCTTGGGTCGCCCGGGTGCATTGGAGGTTTGCTGGAGGGCGGTAGTTTTGGCCAAATTTGGGGACTTTCCCATAGCCCCAAGAAAGTTAGAAAAAAAGAGCTATATAAATCCTACAGAAATAGGTAGCAAATTTACCATGCTATTTACTTTTGGTTACTATACTGTAGTTAGAATCTGCCGACCCAGAAAAAGTAACATGAATGACAATTCTTGGACTATTTTTCAAGGAAAAACAAATCTATCTACATATATATATATATATTTCTGAGAACATCTTTGTGATGTCCTTGAGCTCGCTGATTGGACACTCCTGTTCGTTGGTCGATAGTCTACGGCACTTAGTGTTGTAAACATTTGCGTAAGTCCCAACCATTGGTATTTTTCTTTGCTGTTCGCCACGTGTATATATATATATATATATATACTCATAATATGTTTATAGATGAGATGTATATCATCTTCCCGACGCTTGATATATCATTCCTTGGGTCAAAATCGACCGAAGCCGGCTGGTAGGCCTCGAAGCCGAAGCCCTCACTTGAGATGCACGATGTCGGGGGCTCCCTGTTTGTATTCCCACCTTCCAATGCGTTGTGTTTGGAAGGGCTTATTTCTCATTGCGAGAAAATACTTATGTTGCAACGTGGTATTTTGGTGATTTTTCAACGCGGTATTTTGGTCATTTCTCAACGCGCCAGGGCTGTCATTTCGTGTCTAAATTTTGTGCGCGCAGCTGCTGCGTTCATTTTGCGACGCGTCATGGTTCTAACTTTCTGTTCCCCCGGTTTCTGGGTTTCTGGGTCTCTGGGTCTCTTGATTTCTGGGTCTCTTGGTTTCTGGGTCTGTTGGTTTCTCGGTTTCTTGGTTTCTCGGTTTCTTGGCTTCTGGGTCTCTTGGTTTCTGGGTTTCTTAGTTGTTCTTGGTTTCATGGTTTCTCGCTTTCTGAGTTTCTTGTTTTGGTTTTAAATGTGACCTTGTAGGTTTTCACATTTCCTGCGTGTGTGCTTGTGTTACTTTGTTTCCGGAGGTTCTTCGTTGGGGTTCTTAAGATCATTAGTTTCTACATTTTACAGTCTTGCGGAATAAACCTAAAACACACCGTAAACTCGTTGTAAATAAACCCTGAAGAAACTCTACATCAATCCTAAACCAATTCTGCCAACCCTAAATCAGACAGACCAACTCTAAATAACCCCAAGCTAACCCCAAATAAACCCTAAACCAACCCTAAATCAGACTTAAGCTAATCCTAAATAAACGCTATACCTATATATATATATATCCTAAACAGACCCTAAGCCAACCCTAAATAAACTCTAAATCAATTCTAAAGAAGCCTTAAACCACCCCCAAACAAACCAGAAAATATCCCTAAATAGATTCTAGACCAAACCTAAATAAACCCTAAAGCGACGTTAAATAAACATAAATAAACCTTCAACCAACCACAGAAAACCTGAAACCAATCCTAAATACACCAAAACCTAATTTTGAGTAGATTCTGAATGAATCTTAACAAGACCCGAAACAAGACATAAACCAATCCGAAATAAGTTCTAGACTATATAAGCTAAATAAGCCCTAAACCAATCTTAAAGCAACCTGGAATTAAATAAACCCTAAAGCAAACTTAAACACACCATAAATATCCATAAATCAATCCGACATAGTTTTTTTAAACCAACCCCGAATAAATTTTAAACCAACCATGACTAAACCCTGAAAAAAACTGTAAACCAGCCCTAACTAATTTTTGCCAGCCGACTCTGACATCCCCAAAGCAAATCTCAATAAATCCTAAACCAACCCTATCTAAATAAACCATAAACCAACCGCCAATGAAGCCTAAAACAAGCCTAAATAAAGCCTAAGGCCCTAAACCAATCCTGAATAAACTCAAAAAACCAATTGTAATTTTTCACCATAAACCAAACCTTTTTATAGATTCTAAAAACCCCCAAAAATGATCATTTAAGATACATTAAGCACCTATTCCATATATCCACTCTAAAGATCAATGGCTAAGGCCATGGTGGAACAGCGGCGACTGCTGACCTTGGAGGCGGAGCTGGAAACCGCCTTTTGCCGCTTGGGTTTAGCTTGATGGCTCCAGGGACAACCCGTTGGAAAAAAGCAGGGAAAACCAAGGGAAATCCCTGATTTTTTGATATTTTTTGGGCCCGTCTGAAAAAAAATATAGGATGTGGCGCTATGTTTTTTGATTGAGATTTGACTTGGAAAACTAAAGCATTCGGACCTGTGATTTGCTGAATCTTTGGTACCAACGAAATTCCACCACTGGTTTTATGGGCCCAAGACTTTATCAGATGTGGTGCCCCTGATGTGTTTCATCTTCAGAAGTTTGGTCGCGAAAATATGCCCCATTTCTAGATGTGATTGATAAATGATTTGGTCTGAAAATATGGTTCCCCAATTTTTGATAGTTCAGCAGATATTCACTATCAAGATTGCCATTTGAAGGGTTTTTCCATTTTCGGACAACACCAAACATTACTGTAGTATCATCTCGCTTAGATATCCCTTCAATATCCCAGAAACATATCCCCATTAATCCTCCAATTTCCATTCAACTTTGATTGCTAATAGTTGAATAGAACATGGGAGATCAATAAGTTGATCAATTGAACCTTGACGAGTTCCATTCAAATCAACTTTCCATATGTTCCATATGTTCCATAGTTGTCCTCCATGGATTTTGATTGCTATCCTCATTAATCCTCCAACTTAAGATCCCATGAATATCCCAATAATACTATCCCAATAGTAATATTTCGCGGTAGTAAAGTAAAATATCCCAATGAACTTCATTTTCTAGCCCAATAATATCCATAGTTGGAGTATGCATTAATTGAATATAGCAAGCATACCTGGTTGGTGATTTGGAACCATGGAATTTTATGACTTTCCAGAAACAGTTGGGAATGTCATCATCCCAACTGACGTTCACTCCATCATTTTTCAGAGGGGTAGGTCAACCACCAACCAGATATATTCTTCATTAGATCAGGTATAAATCACTATTAACCACTATAAATCACTATGAATCACTATTAACCACTATGAATCACCATTAACCACTATTAACCACTATTAACTACTATTAACCACTATGAATCACTATTAACCACTATGAATCACTATTAACCACTATTAACCACTATTAACCACTATGAAACGCTATTAACCACTATTAACCACTATTAACTACTATTAACCACTATGAATCACTATTAACCACTATGAATCACTATTAACCACTATTAACCACTATTAACCACTATGAAACGCTATTAACCACTATTAACCACTATTAACTACTATTAACCACTATGAAT